AAAGCTGACTTTGGTCCTAAAAAATGAATATTTGATGATTCCGTTTTCAGTTCATTCAAAGTAGCCAATTTTAACGATCACTATTAAACGTGAGTAGTATTGTGATTATTTGAGAGCTTGTTGATTAAGTGGATTTAGTCCTACTGGGGAAGGAGCAGCAGCCAAGTAGAAAATGCCCAAGATGAGAGGCCCAGGAGGAGAGTCCCCCATGGGGAGCCTCCCAGAGCCACGGGGCTGCCGAAAGGCTCATCCCTGCACTGAAGTGACCTTGAGGCTGAGGAAGAAGCTGGTCTGCTGCTCTGTGAGTATCCCAGCCAGGATGGCCCGGCGACTCGGGTGACGGAAGGAGCCCGGCCCCGGCAGGTCTCATCTCAGCATCTGCCTGTGCAGAACAGGGCAGGGTCCAAGGGGCAATGGCCGCTTCTAAGGCCCAGTCCCTTCTGTATGGACCCACCTGGGGGGCAGGGAGACAGCTCAAACCTGAATTGATTGCATTTTAACCTTGAAATGTCTGAAAAATCATTGATATGTCTGAGTTGCCTTGGAAAGAAATTGTTTTTCTGCTCTCATGCTGGAGGGGAAACTAGAAAGAGGATTCAGTTATGGGGAAATACCAGTCAAGGGAGTTGCATGTCTCTGAGTCTATAGATGATGAAATATCGTCTGCTCTGTGTCATTCATTGAATAAACATCATCATGAAGAATTCAGATGCTTGGAACTGGAAATACTGAAAGCATTACCTATTTTAGGAGGCCCAGGTCGCGTCCTAGGGGTGCTATCAGTGGGGAGACCTCCTCGTCCCTCACCTGTTGCCAGGGGAAGTGGGTTTCTTGGGGTGCTGCTGGAGTAAGAATTTCCCAACTACATCCGTTTGTTAGAGCTGCCAGGACCAGGTACTACCCACTGGGGGCTTAAGTATTTTCTCACAGTTCTGGAGGCTGGAAGACCAAGACCAAGGTGTCCTCCGATTTGACTTCTCCTGAGGCCTCTCACCTTGTCTTGCAGATGATCCCTCCTTCTTTCTGTGACTGCGTCCAGTTCTGTCTTCTTATAAGGACACCACCATTCATATAGAGCTGGGTTCATCCATTATGCCTTTTTTAAATTTTATCTTTATTGTTGAAAGTGTTACAGTTAACCCCCCCCCTTAACCCTCTTCACCCCACTCCTGCCTCTCCCCAGGCCTTCACCGAAATACTGTCTGTGTCCATGGGTGATGTATTTATGTATATAAGTTCTTTGGCTAATCTCTCTCCCCACCGCCTTCCCTCGGAGATTCGTCAGCCTGTTGTCTCTTTTAAAAGCCTATCTCCAGATAATGGTCACATAATGAGGTTATCTTGGGGGTTTTGGCTCAACATATGAATTTTGGGGGTGACACAAGTCAGCCCATGATGCCAACTTTCCACCTGTGAGGTTAAGAATGGTCCTGGGCCCACTTCTAGGGATTTAGATGAGATTAAAAAGGAAAAAAAAAAAAAAAAAAAGGTCAGCAAATGTCCAAATCAGCACACCTTGGCCCTGGACACTGGTTTCAAGGCAACTGGGAAGCCAGAGAAGTAGGCAGAAAAAAGGAAAAACTTTATTTAGACTTTGCTTTGTTCCAGAAAGGACGTGAAGAGAGGGCAAGACACAGGAGACAAGGGGCCTGTGTGCCCACCAAGGCTTCCCCCTCAGAGGAGGGGTGTGTGGGCACAGTTAGGAAGTCTTTCCCGGCAGAGCACAGTGCTCTGGGGGCTTCCCAAGGTTAACGTGGTTTCCTGCATTAAAGAGGCAATGCACAGATGGGGGGTGAAGAATAGTTTATGTTGCCATGGAGAATCATCACTGGAGCATGAGAAACCTGGACAATCCGTTAGAAAAAGCTGATCTCAATATTCAATGATTCGCAGACATTTATTAAGCACCTGTGATGTGCCAGGCTGTATGCTGATCACTGCAGGCAACATTGGTGGTGAGCAAGTTTTTGGTAACATTAGTAAACACACAAGTACAAAGCACATGTGTATTAACCCATGTAAACACTTACCAAAAATTTTTTTACAGTTGAGGAAACTGAGGCAAAGAGGATGTTTGTAACTGGCTTGAATACACACAGGAAGAAATGAAGCCAATGTTTTAACTTAAGGAAATCTGGATGGCTCCAAACTTCATACTGATAAAAACCACAAGATTCTGCCTTAAGATATTTGGGAGTTAACCCTGACTGGTTTGAGTGGATAGAGCGTCGGCCTGCGGGCTGAAAGGTCTCAGGTTAGATTCCGGTCAAGAGCATGTACCTTGGTTGGGGCACATCATCCCCAGTAGGGGGTGTGCAAGAGGTAGCCTCTCTCATCGATGTTTCTAACTCTCTATTTCTCTCCCATCTAATCTGTAAAAAAAATAAAATAAAATAAATAAATAAATAAAAATCAATAAAATATATTTTTATTTTTTAAAATAGATTTTATTGATTTTAGAGAGGAAGGGAGAAGGAGAGGTAGAAACATCAATGATGAGAGAGAATCATTGATCGGCAGCCTCCTGCATGCCCCCATGTGCCCTTGGCTGGAATCAAACCCGGAACCTCCCAGCCTGCAGGCTGATGCTCTATCCACTGAGCCAAACCAGCTAGGGCTAAAATACATTTAAAAAAAAAAAAAGATATTTGGGAGTTAGAGAAGTTATGAAGGCTTCCTCTCTAGATTTTTAGTTAGGCTGAGATCTGGAACAAGAGTTTTTATCTAGCCAAAATTGGTTTGGCTCAATGGATAGAGCGTTGGCTTGGGGACTGAAGGGACTGGGGCTCGATTCCGGTCAAGGGCATGTACCTTGGTTGTGGGCATATCCCCAGTATTGGGTGTGCAAGAGGCAGCTGATCGATGACTCTCTCTCATCGATGTTTCTAACTCTCTGTCTCTCTCCCTTCCTCTCTGTACAAAATCAATAAAATATATTTTTTAAAAAGAGTTTTTATCTAAAGATACAACTGAGCTTTCAGATTGATCCAGATGGGAAGTAGGGGTGAGGGGAGAGCTGACCAGAAAGGGGAGCTGAAAAGAGGCCAAAGAGAAATCTCATGACTTCTAATTTTGCCTGGTAATCTCTAATGAAAAACTGCCATGAAAATCAACAACTGAGTGTATTTAATTTTTAAATGCAGCTTTCAGAGCACAGTCTTTATAAGTATTTTCAGAAGTCCACCTTCCTATCTTGAAACTAATTAAAAAAAAAAAAAAAAAAAAAAAAAAAAGGGTGAACAAAAATGATGGTAGACTAGCATGCCCCTAGCTGCCCCAAACTGGCCTGTAGTTGGAGCTGAGGCAATTCTGGAGCTGGGGGACTAGAATTCTGGGCCAGGCGAAGGTAGAGACTAAAACCCTACCCAGCTCTGCTCTGGATTCCTAATTCCTCCTTGTTCTTTTTGTCTCATACCATACACCTACAGTTTCTCTACAATAACTATTGTGAAACTTTATTTGCTCATGGACAAAAGCTAAAAACGTTTAATCCCATCATTAGGTTAATTGGGTAAAAGTTATCCCATCCAGTTTCCAGTACAAACTCCCATTGTTCTGTAGGCTCTCAGACGCGGCACTGCAGGATGATTTTATGTGGGTCAGCATCTTTTAGAAAGCAGTCGTAGGCACAGCAGCTTATGAAATCAAACTCCTGGACACCGCGGAGTCCCTCCCTTGGGAAATGCTTTTTGTTTGTTTATGTTTGGGTGGCACCGGGGTTCAGCAGCGTTCCAGGATCCAAGGTGGAAAAGGTCATTCCTCCTCATTACCGAGCGGGGCCAGTCGCACAGTTAGGGCTCTCCATCGGAGTTTTGAGCTCAGACAGTTATAACATCCAGATACTGTCATCGCGGTGTTTGGTTTTGAGCTGGGGTGAAAGCTTCTCGTTTGCATCCAAACATTCGGGAACACAGGAGCTTTGTGCTCTCTGCGGCCGCAAGCGAGGAGGGCTAGCGCCGCGGCCGACGGTGCAGGCGGAGAACACAGCTCAGAGCGACCCTCTAGCAGCAAAAGAAAGTTCCTGTAGGATGTGACCGCCCCTCGGTCACGCGGGCGCGGCCCGGGGGGCTGGGCGAGAGGGTCCGGGGCGCCCCCCGTGGGGACGTATGGCACCTCCGTGCAGGGCTGAGTCGTAGCCTCAGCCGCGCATGTCCACCCAGATGGCAGCCTGCCCCGACCCGGCCGCGGTCAGGCTCAAAGGCTTCTACCCCAGGCCCTCCGTCCCCATCACCCCCCTCCTCCTGCCCTTTCAGTGATGACCGGAGGGCCAGTCCCGGATCCATCTAGAGCGAGGAGGGGGCGGGGCTTGGCCGAGAGAGGCGGGGCCAGGGGGAAGAGGAAAGCAGGATGCGCTGAGGGAGGGGCGGGGCTATGGGAAGATGGGCGGGGCTATGGTGAAATGTGAAGCCGCACTCAGCCCTGGGGGGGGCAGGGCTCGGCGGAGGGAGGCGTGGCTAGGTGATGAGGGGCGGGGCTATAAGAGGCGGGACGGGGCTCTGGTGAAATGTGAAGCGGCATTTAGTCCTGGACAGGGCGGGGCTCGACGAAGAAGGCGTGGCTCGGTGGAGGTGGGCGGGGCTATATGAGGAGGGGCGGGGCTATGTGGATGGAGGCGTGGTTAGGTAATGAGGGGCGGGGCTATAAGAGAGGGATGGGGCTCTGGTGAAATGTGAAGCGGCACTCAGCCCTGGGCAGGGCGGAGCTCGGCGGAAGTGGGCGGGGCTGGGGAGGGCTGAGCGCGAAGCCAGGCTGAGAGCCTGAGGGGCGGGGCGGGGCGGGGCGGGGGGCAGGGCTCGGGGCGGGGCTTGGGACGCGCGGCGCGGCTTCCCCCCGCCCGGTCCGCTCCTCGCCCTTCCCGCGGCACCGGAGTGGGGCTCGCGAAGGCCGAGCGCGAGTGGCGGGGGTGAGGAGGGGGAGTGCGGAGCCCGGTTCTGGAGCTGCGGGAGCCGGCGGGGGACCGGCGTGGAGGGCTGGAGGTGGCGGGGCCCCGCGAGGACGCGATGAAGCCAAACCTCGAGGACCAGGCGGCGTCCGCCGAGGGCCCCTGGGAAGAGTGCTTCGAACTGGCCGTGCAGCTGGCGCTGCGGGCGGGACAGGTGAGCGCCGGGCCCCTCCCGCGCCCTGGGGAAGTCCCCGTGAGCGCAGCCCGCGGCCGGGCGGCACGTCCCGCCTCACACCCACCCGGCACTTAGGAAAGCCCGATCAGAAGTGGAGTCAGACCAGGGGGCTCCTCCCCCCGGGGCTGCGGGAGCCGGGCCCAGGACCACGTGCGGCCGCGGGGCTGGGCTGGGGGAGGTCCCGCGCCGCCGGGCCGTGTGCGGTGGGCGTCTGGTGACGGCTGACCGAGGCGCGATAAGTGAAAGAAGTCTTTGTGCTCGTTTCCTGCATAGACCTTCCCTTCTCCACCCAGGAGCCGGGAGGTGAGCACCTCCTTTTCCCCGTGGTGGTGGCAAGCACCCCTGAAAGCCTGCCGCACGGGGCCCCTCTCCCCTGGCAGTTGATGGCTAACTGTAGGTGACTTGACCTTTGCGTGGGAGACAGCAAGTTACAACAATATACGGACCATGCAAATCCGTCCAGGGCTTTAAATGTTCTTCCCAGGCCTGAATGTCACCGCTGTTGGTGTTTCAAGACCTTTACATTGATCCGGAGGCCAGGACATGGGTGTGGTTTCCCCCAGGCTTAAGCCCCAGCGACGTGGAGACCTGGGAGGCCGGCTGGCTGTTTGTCTTTCCTCAAGCATCCTAAATGCAAACGTACTCTGGCCCACAGCCTCCGCTCAGCGATTGGAGAGACATTCATAACCGGCCCGCTGGACGAAAACCACAGCGGAGCGTACACCTGAGACTACAGTCTGAAAGTGCAGCCCCTCTCTTTTCTCACTTTCATTTATGTGTGTTTTGTTCCCCACGTTTCCCTCGGCGCCTTCAGTGCCTGGTTAGAGGCTCGGTTCCCATGGCCGGGTGAACCAGTGGGTGTTGGTTCTCGGAGGGCTGTCAGGCAGGCAGGGGGGAGACTGAGGGGGAAGAGGATTACTGCTATTTGGCGTGTTAAGGTGGGTGCTTGTGTTCTGGTGACCTGGAGGGTGAAGACGGACGGGAGAGGAGCTGGGAGAGGAGAGTGAGTTGGTGTCCATACAGCATTGTCTTCCTCAGGTGTGCCAGTCTGAAAAAGTTTCCCCACCGTGTAAAAACGCTCTGTGAGTCTTCCCACGGGGTTCGAATCGGGCTGTTTTTCAGCCCTGGGTCGTCATGTGTACAGTGGGTAGTGCTTTCCCTTGATATGAATCCTCTGATCCCCTGTAAAAGTTAATCTTCCCATGTAGTCTCGGAGGGCCCTCGCCCTGTGGTTTAAAGACCCAGGCTCGGTGGGGAAGGAATCATGGCTTAAAGGAGTGCTGTGGGCTGTCCTCTGGCTCCATCACCTTCCCCTCCTGCACCAAAGGAGATCCCAAACCTTCTGAGGTAGCATGGTGAAGCTCCTGGGAGCATTCTTCCTGGAAAACACATCCATGTATGGGGGGGGGGGGATTGCTCTCCTGCCCCTCTCCCTCCCTCCAAGCCTCCTCCCTTCCTTTTCAGAGGGACTGTCACCAGGATATTTAGTAACTTTTACATTCCACCATGAAACTTTCCTTCCTTGAGGCTTTGAGGAAAAGCCAGCTTAGGACTCAGGTAAATCCTGGTGAGCTGTTATGGGTTTCTGTGGTTTTTTTTCAAACTTAGACCCTTAAAGATACAGAGGGGTTTAAAACAATTTAGCAAATGGTTATGTAGAACTTGCAATTCGGCAGGCACAATGTTAAAAGCCTTACAAATTTTAACTTATTTAGAAGATATCTATGGGTTTGCAACTGGCAAAAAAAAAAAAAAAAAAAAAAAAAAAAAAAATTGGGAGGGGGAAGGGTGAACTGAAGAGTCTGCCATTAGGAGTCTTGTCAGGGAGCCCAGGACTCCGGGCTCCCTCTGGAGCATTATGCTGATGCTTCCTGCCCGCCTGGCCGTGAGGACGGCCTCACCGAATGGGCTGTGGCTGGGACAAGCAAGCCACACAAGGTCGTCGCAACCTGTGCAAAGAGGGACAAACCGTCTAATAGTGTTCTTAGTAATGGGGCACGGATTGGGAAAATCGGGCCTTTGGCCAGACAGGCCAGAGAGGAATGAAAAGGTAGTTAGCGGTGATCCTTTTGGAGTCCTAATGCAGCGTTTGGCACATTTTCTGTGGCCTTGTGGCCCAGAATGCCCACCCCGTCACCGGTACCCACTGGTCTGCTATTATATTGAGTTCGCTACCCTCAGCTGCTCCTGAGACAGTTATATGTTCTGAATTCCCGAGCCTGGGTTCTGTCTGCTGGAAGGTAGAACAAGAGTGAGGGGGCCTCCCGAGAGATAAATGTCACTGCCCTTGGTCTTTCAGACATTGGTGCGGGTCAGGGCAGCACCAGACACTTTGCTCCCCGTTTCTGAGAGTGTCCACAAAAGCAGCCTGTGTGGCCTCCTTGGCCCAAAGTGCCCCCTCTGCACAAAGCCCCCCCCCCCATTCTCTCCCCTTCCTCCTCGACTCTCCACCACCCCAGCCTGCGGTCCCTCTGAAACTCACCCCTTCCCTGCAGGCCCAGCACCCCACCCTGTGCACTCAGGGGCCCCTCCCATCACTGCCACACATACAGATAGCAGTATTCATGGGAATGGATGTCTGTCATATTTTTTGTGACAAGTGAACATAAGTATCATAGAAAACTATGCTTTTTAAAAAATATATTTTTATTGATTTCAGAGAGGAAGGAAGAGGGAGAGATAAAAACATCAATGAGGAGAGAGAATCATTGATTGTCTGCCTCCCGCAAGCCCCCCACTGGGGATCGAGTCCACAACCTGGGCTTTGCCCTTGACCAGAATCGAACCTGGGACCTTTAAGTTTGACGCTCTATCCACTGAGTTGAACCGGCCATGGCAAAAACTATGCTTTTTAAGTTGTCCTCAAAGGTAGATGCAGGTTTTGTTGGGCATATCGAGCTTAAACAAATTAGGAGCCCTCTTAACAAAAAATATACAAATTAGATATAAAAATTACTTAAAAATCAACAGTGTAAATTTTAAGATGCTAGCAATATAACAAAATACATAAAAATAAATCTTTAACTACTTCTCAATCTTCTATAATACTTTTTTTCACTTTTTTTGGCTTTACACTTTGCATCTTCAAATGTCAGTGATTTGGTTATTTTCTCCGGAGAGAATAGAAAGATAAATTTAGGCTTTCTTAGAGCATGGATGATTGAAATTTATTTAGGCTTCAAACTTGTTCCTGGTAAGGTCATATACATTTTAAGATTGCCATCCAATTTGAGAACACTGTCACTTTTCTTGTATGTATAATATTAGCAGTAAGATGTGAGAGGATTTCCCACAGACCAGCATCTGGCTGCGCAGCGCTGAAGCCTTGTTTCTTTCCATGATCCCTGGTGCCAGCTGGCCCTGTCCATGCTCACACACTCCTCTAGCCCTGCCCTTCGTGACACCATGCCCGGTCAGCTGGTGTGGTAGGCAGTGGAAGCATTTCTGGAAGCCATTCCTACCCAGGATGCCTAACAATAACTTACACACAGATGTGACTACAGATATAGCCCATCAAACCCAAAGTAAATCCATCTCTACTCAACCTCCGTGTATCCAAAAAAGCTAATGCCCCACTCCAGGGCCACCGGGTAGGGAATAGGATGGAGGGAGGTCATAGTAGAAGGAGCAGTTAGATCTGCAATTAGAGGAGCTGAGTGTCACAAACTTAAAAGAGGTACTTCTGTGTGGCCCTGCTAGAGGTACTTCCCTATGGTCCCTTGCAAAGCCTCCCTGCCATTAGCTTCCCAGTGAATTCATCTGATTACCGGTGAGAACATCCCAGAAAGCGAAAACCCAGCCCTCTACCCTCAGAACTTGGCCTTGTGCACCCATGCTGGTTACCTCCCCAGGGCCAGGCTTGAGAAGTGAGGCCTGTTGTCCCAACAGCCCCTGGGTGCACCAGGCCTGTGTTCAGCCGGATCAGACTAGTCTGATGTGTTTTCTAAACACATTGCATTTTCCTGCCCTTCTTGCCTATGTTTTTTGGAAACCATACTGTCCCTCCAGGGCTGGGTTACTGTGTCCCTTCCTTCGTGGACCTTCCGGGGTGATTTCCTTCTCTGTCCTGTGTCTCTCCCCCATTCTGCTGGCCCTTAGTCCCCAGTCTGCTCTTCCCACCGTGGGCTCGGAATGTGCCGCTCCCAGAGCAGAGAGCGCACACTGTGGACTCTGACCCTATATCATCTCTCTGTCTGGCTTGCTTTTGACAACTAAGCATTGTTTTGACTGGTGATTTTAATTGTTATCAGTTATTCACATAGGGAGTTGTATAAGTGAAATACTACTAAAGGGATTGTCATGAAGACAGCAATGTCCTGGCCCATGTCATCCTTCATACTTTCCCCCAGAAAGTATGTGTTCAGTTTTCTGTGTTCAGTTCACTGTGTTCAGTTTTCTCAGTTATTCCCATTTTGTAAATAATGGGATTCTACCACGCATTTAGATGCTAGATAGTGTGTGGATCCGTTGGTATGCATAATATCACATTCTTCTTCTTTTTTTTTTTTTTAATCCTCACCCGAGGATATTTTTTCTATTGACTTTTAGAGAGAGTGGGAGGGAGAGACAGAGAGAAACATCGATGTGAGGGTGACACATTGATTGGTTGCCTCCCACATGCCCCTGATCAGGGCCCATGACCCTCACCAAGGGCAGGAGCCTGCAACTGAGGTACGTGCCCTTGACCGGAATCGAACCCGGGACCCATCGGTCCACAGGCTGACGCTCTGTCCACTAAGCCAAACCAGCTAGAGCTCCATATCACATTCTGATGGCCATGCAATTGTAATGCAAGGTTGAGTCAGGCAGTATAACTATATTACATATTCTTTTATTTCTTATACAATCTGTATTTTCTTTTTTTTTTCAATCCTCACCTGAGGATATGTTTTTATTGGATTTATTTATTTTGAGAGAGAGAGAAATATTGATGTAAGAGAGAGACCTGAAACCTGGATAGTGCCCTGACTGAACTGAAC